GGCTCGCGGGAGGTGACCCGGGCGGGGGCGGGCGGGCTAGGGCTGCAGCTCGTACTGCTGCTCCGTGGCCGTGTAGAAGTCCTCGAGCACCGACTGCAGGAACTCGAAGGTGGGCCGCTCCTCGGGCCGGCTGCGCCAGCACTCGGCGATGACGCCGCGGTACAGCTCGGGAGGGCACGTGTCGGGGCGCGGCATGCGGTAGCCGCGCTCCAGGCAGCGGATGACCTCGGGGTTGCTCATTCCTGCGGGCAGAGAGGACAGAGAGCCTGGGCGGGGGCCGGGAGGGTGGGTGCTGCCATCTGAGCGCAAAAGTGCCTGCGGGCACGGACCCCCGCCGTCCCGTCTCACCAGCTGGTGCCACCTTTAAACATCCCTTTATTTACATTTTATTGCTCAGGGAACAGCTGGACATGAGGCTGTGGGTTGTTCTCCCGAACATGGGGCGCCTCCTCCATGGATGGGGCCCCGTCTTATTACCTGCGATTGCCCGGGACACAGCTGAAGCCTGTGCAGGGGTCAGGTGCTCCCTGAACGCTCGCCCAGGGCGGCCCGGCCCTCTGACTGGGGCTGTGGGGGCGTCTGGGGGCCTGGAGTCCACCACTCTGCCTGCTCAGATGGGGCTTTTGGGGAGTAAATTTGATTCCAGTTTGGGGGGCCCATGTGACCTCTGCTGGAGGAAGGGGACACAGCCCTGAGGCCCAGAGCAGTGGGCATGAAGGGGGCAGAACCCACCCCCTGAACAGCATGCCCAGGCCTCTGTCCCTGCTGCAGCGACCCCACTCTGACACGAATGTGGCAGCCACAGCCACCAAGGATGGGCCATCTGCTGTCAGGGCCATCCCGGGAAAGCAGGAGCGCGGCGAGAGAGGAAGGCGCGGCCCTACCTGGGTACGGCACCCGCCCGTAGGTGACGATTTCCATCAGAAGGACCCCGAACGACCACACGTCCGCTTTGATGGTGAACACCCCGAAGTGGATGGCCTCTGGGGCGGTCCACTTGATGGGGAACTTGGCCCCTGCGGGAAAAGCCACGCGCAGCTTTGAGAGGTCATCGCCGGCCTCCCCTTCCCTCCCCCCACCCCTGCGGTCCTGCCCGCGCCTCTGGCCCCCACGGCTGGGCCTCGCAGGCTTGGCCGCTGGACACCGCAGAGATGCGGCCGGGGAGTCACCAGGACACACCAGGACCCGTGACCAGGTAAGAGCAGCCACGGGGTCTGCAGCACAACAGGGCAGCATGGACACCAACGCCACTTGCTGTCACCCCCAGTGGGTCTTTAAGAAGAGAGTAAGCGGCCCCACTGAGCACCGAGCACGTGTTTCCATCCGGAATGGAAGAGTCCTTTTCTGCCACATACAGGCCTTATTTAATAATGGGGACTATCCGTTTAACTTGTCCGTGCCTCATTCCTTTCCTGCACAGTGGTGACTCCTGGACCCCCCAGAGTCCCTGTGAGGAAGGACTCGTATCCGGATGGCCCACGAAGCCCTGCGACAGCTGTGGGCCTGACCGGCATTCCCAGCAGACCACAGGGCTTGCGTGGCACTCCCTCCGCTGGCCTGGCTCTCTCAGTGGCCCAGCCAGCCTGAAGTTCCCGAGGGAACCGGCCACATTCACCCTTCTCCTGCACGACTGATTCATATGCTCGGCGAATCTTGCTTGTCTCAGGCAAATGTATTCGACCCCTCAGATCCTCTTTGGCGTTGATTTGTACCTCGGTTATATTAGCAGAGTAAAACTGAGAGCTCCGTGGAGGCCCTAATTCAGGTGTGAGGTTTGCTGCTCGCACATTACAGCTGTTTCCCAAAGTGTGCTCTGTGAAAGCCCAGTTCTGCGGGACATTAATAGGACCCAGGTGGAATTAGTATTGGGGGCTGAAATTAGTTTGGGAGACACCAGGTGAGGCGAATGTGAATTGTTTCTTGGCTGCAGGACTTCTCAGTGCCTTTAATATGTTGATGTGCATTGGGAATCTCCAAGGCAGGAAGGGAGATGAACTGCAATTTCTCCAAACCTACCTTATCCTAAAGCCATTCCTCAGTGGAAGGTCTTGAGGCATTACTACTTTGCTGAGCACAATTAGGGAAACGCTGGTCTAGAACTGTAGAAACTATAGTGCTCGCAGGTCTCTGCACACAGGGCTGTGCTATGTAATGTCAAGGAGAAGTTCGAGGGAGGGGGGAGGTAAGGCCCAAGGTCTCCCCTGCGGTTGTGGGGCTCTGCTCACCCTCCTGGGCAGTGTATTCACTGTCGATGATCCGGGCCAAACCGAAGTCAGCGATTTTGCAACACAAGGTCTCAGACACCAGGATGTTGGCCGCCCGCAGGTCGCGGTGGATGGAATTCATGTGCTCGATGTACGCCATCCCTTCGGCGATCTGAGGGAACAGGCCACAGGTGAAGGACGGTGTGGCGGCCTCCATGCCAGGGCCGAGCCCACCCTACGCCCCTGCGAGGCCCCTGTGGGAAGGGCCCGCCAGCCTCTGCAGAAGCAGCCTTGCCCCTGGGAAGGCGCCAGGGGAAGGACAGCAGGGTGGGGGTGTTCTGGTTGCTTTGGTGGGCGTGGGGGGTTCTGCTGCTGGGGAAGGAGCTCATTCTTGGAGGGGAGTAGAAAGGGGGTTCAGCCGCTCCTCAGCTGGACAAGCCCAGGCCCCCAGAAACCCAGAACAGCAGAGCGTTGTCATCAGAGGTACGGGGGCCACCTGCACCCCTCCCCTCCTTGCCTCTTCTCCCAGGCAGCTGTCTCCCAGTGCAGGGAAGGAAGATGGCAGGACAGAGGTAGGAGGGGAGGGAGGAAAACAAGGGAGGGGCGGGAAGGAGAGAGGAAGGCAGGAGGGAAGAGAAAAAGTGTCCCTCAACCCCCGGCAGGCTGGAGGCACTGCTCTTGGAGCTGGAGCCCTCGATGGGGACAGGTGACCTCCAGCTACCTCCCTGAGGGGTCCCAGTCCTGACCCGGGACAGGAGGGGAGTGGTCTCCAGGGCACAGGGTTGAGGCACACATAGGATGAGGTGGCCACGGCTGAGGACCTAACCCAGCACCTGGCCTGCGGCGGGCACTTGGGGGGCAGGAGCAGGACCCAGATGGACGGGCAGCCAAGGCAGAGGAGCCCTGGTCTCTGTTCCCCGATCACCAGCGCCGGGCCAGCGATAGCGGTTTGTGGCTGCATTGGTGCCTTTTAGCCGAGGAAAGTAAGAATTTATTCACCCAATTGATGGATGGAGAAACTGAGGCAGAGAACACGGAGCCAATTCACCCCCTCGGACCAGCTCCTGCACGGAGGCAGCCCTGGAGCTGACCCGCTTCTCCTTGTGCTTCCGTTTGCATTGGTTCTTGCGTGCATCCACTCACCATGGATTCCTTCACTGATTCCCTCACGAAATCACCCAGTCCACGCACTTCTCAGCATAGGGCTGGGGGGGACACGAAACTGAACCCTAAGCGCGTGTGAGCAGCCTTTGACGGGACTCATTCCGCTAACTAATATTTATTGAGCTGTACCAAAAATATGAAAACTCCGAAAGTCGAGTGGGGCCCAGGTCTGCTCTCAAGAAGCCACCACGCACAAGGCTACCGAGAACACGTGAGCTGAGGGCTCTCTAGCAGTTTCTTGTCCGGGGAAACCTTAGTAGAAATGACATTTGACTCAGGTCACGAACGCTGAGTAGGATTCCACCAGGTGAGAAGAGGACACTGTGGGCATCGTGGGCAGAGGTGTGGCGGGGCAGGTAGCACAGGGAACGGTGCCGTGTGACTGCAAAGTAGGGCACCTGGGCCCTGTGGGTGGGCCAGAGCTGGCCTTGCAGGAAGGGTCCTGGGGGGGCTTTGCATTGCATCCCGCAGAGTAGGGAAAGAAGAACCCAGAAGGGCGTTGAGTTTGCGTGCGTGTGTGTGTGTGCACGCGTGGTGAGGGGTTAGCACGGTCAGAACAGAGTTTAGAAGCTGTTCTGAGACGTTCTGATTTTCTGGTTTCGTAGCCCCAGATGTGTGACCACATCTAGGTATTAAACTCAGATGGCCTTTCACATCCCCTACCCCTGGGTGACCCAAGATTTCCCGAGGGCTTGCAGCGGGGACCGAGTAATAGATAGGAGAGGACGAGAGAAGGAAACACGGGCTTGTCGCTGTCATGTGGTTTGAACCCCGTTACCAGCACTCGTTTTCCAAAACCATTGCACCAGCCTGCTCAGACTGATGTCTGCTCACCTCAGTGGAAAAAAGGCACCGTGACATCAGTTCCTGCACGACACTAATAGCGGATGAGGCCGGGCGAGGTGGGGCGGGCCGTGCGGGGCGGTGGGAAGGAAGGTTTCCTCTCTGTAGCTGGGGGTGTGTGTGCACCTCGCAGGGTGACCACAGACCAGAGCTTTTCTGCTGAGAGTTCCAGTTTTAACGACACACACACACACACACACACACACACACACACGGGGGCACCAGATGTGTTTCCTGCCAGTCAGAGCCCTCAGCTAAATCTCGGGGAGGGAACATCCCTCCTCTGTGTTCTGCTCTTTACCTCATGGAGTCTGGAAAATTCTGCATGTGAACCCAAGGGTCACTGAGGACCAGTCCAGGGCAGCTGAGGTCTGGCCCTCGAGACTCCCTGATGGCAGCAGTTGGGGGTCCTCTAGGCCCAGGGAGGTGACGCCCCTAGCACTTGGAGGAGACTCGTGCCTGCCCGTCAGCCTGGGGCCAATCCCAGGGCTGTGCGAGGACTGAGGGCTCCTGGAACAGGATCAACATTTTCCGAACGCCCACCGGAGGCGTTCGTGGGCACGGTCTGAAGTGGAGATGAACACACCTGCCTGTACCGTGTTATAATAAGCGCAACTCTTGCCAACTCCGCGGGGCTCCCGCAACACTAGGCCCCTCTCTTCCTTTGTAAGGGGGCGGCCCCGTCCATCACGGCTGCCCAGGACCGAGGGTCCCCTCCCCGGCTTCCTTGTGGCTGCACGTGGATGCTCGAGCAAGCACAGCAGGTGACCTGAGGGACTTGTGCCCAGAGGGAGGCAGGTGGGTCTGGTCCCCCCTGGCTGAGAAGAGGACGGGATGGTAGAGTGTGAGCAACATCTCAGACAATGAGACGACACACACTGAGACGCCAGGGGGCTGGGAGAAACCGGTGGTGCAAAGCCACCACCTGCCGTTCTGCACACATCCGTTTATACATCTGGAAGATTATTACTTCGTGTTTTCTGTCCTTCACAGTCCACCCTAGAGCTAACTGACATGACCTCGGAGGAGTTGATTTTGTTACAGGGCACAGGGGAGAGGGGCTTGGCAGTTCACCAACCTGGGCGGACATGTCGATCAGTCTTGGGAGGGACAGTCTGCCACCTTCGTCTGTCTTCAGGAAGTCCAGCAGGCACCCTAGGACGAGAGAAGCTGCCACTGCACTTCTGCGAGGTGACCGCCCTGCGGTGCCAGCCTGTTCCAGGTGTCGGCTGCCCCCCAGCTGGGAGCAGGAAGCGGGTAGTGGCTCGCTCGGGTCTCCCAGGGCACCAGGAAGGACGCACCTGAGCACTCGTGATCTACGTCGCAGAAATTCCAATCTCAGGCCTCGCGGCGCAGCTGTTACGTTAGACAGCTGACACGCCCTCGGCTGCCCAGAAGAGGTTAGGTCTCAGCCAGGTTCAGGGACCTGTGTGAGGTCACACAGCCGGCAGCTGGGAGCAGAACCCCAGTTCTGATTCTAAGGTCAATGCCCTTTCCTGATGTGACACTCCCACGTGTTGGCCTTCGTCCCTCAATCCTGGCTGACAGACACAGGCTGCCTCTGGGGACCCAGTGTCAGTAAGAAAACATCAAATTGTCCCCGAGCTTGATGCGGGGGACACGTGCATATCACACGTGGAATCAAGAGCCAGAGGGACGCTCACCGGAGGTGCAGCCCAGGGGGGCACACGGGGGAGCCACTGTGCCCTCAGCACAGTCTCGGACTCTGGCTCCCTTGGTGACGGTCATTAAGGAGCTATGTTTGAGATCCTACAGGAGCAGCGGGAGTCAGCGTCAGTGGGGTGGGAAGGAGGTCAAAGGCTGAGGCCCATCCCAGGCCCTTGTCCCATGGAACCAGGCCATGCTGTGGGCCTGAGGCTGTCTGGCCTGCCCTCTCTGCCCCGCTGTTGTAAAATGTTTGTACAATTGTAAAAGGCTGGGAGGTGGCAGGACTAGAACTAGTGCCTGTCCCTGGACGCACGGCCACCTGCTCTTTCAACTTTGCAATGCTCTGTCCCTCCCAGCGGGTGTCCCACAGGGCTGGGCACAGAAGACGCCCTCCCAACATGTTGGCTGACCTGCCCTGAGCTGAGAGCACAGCTCTGTCACCACCATTTCGCTCTCCTGTTTCTCATTCCTGCCCTGCTGCCTCCACGCTGTGCCGCATCCTAGATCTGCAGGACACTGGCTAACTGACCCCCCCCCCGTGACCCCTGCCCTGGCAAACCTGCTGCCCCATCAGCCTCAGGCTTCCCTTCTAAGCTTGGACTCCACCCCCTCTGCAAGGACGCAGCCCTGCGGGGGCACCACCTCTGGCCATGTACTCGGTGACAATGTAGATGGGCTCCTTGGTGACCACGGCGTAGAGCCGGACCAGCCTCTCGTGCTGCAGAGTCTTCATCAGGTTGGCCTCGCCCAGGAAGGCTTCCGGAGACATCGTTCCCTCCTTCAAGGTCTTGATGGCCACCTTCACATTGTTTCTGTAATAGCCTGAGCCGGGGGAGGGGGAAGGAAGGAGCCACTCAGAAGATGGAGAGGTTGCTCGGAGGTGATCCCTTCACCCAGACTGACATAGCTCCCCGGTGCCACCCCTGTTCTAGGTGGGGAACAAAGGCCAGAGCTGACTGTGGCCAGAGCTGGATTCTGCCCCTGCTCGACCCCCGTGACAAGCCACAGCAGCTGTGCTGTGCCTCCATGACCTCGTCTGTAAAATGGGTAGACATGGACTAGCCTCTGCCCTTCCTCCCTCACAAGCCTTCACGGGGAAGGATGACGCCCTGTTCAGATGTTCAGCCTTCTGTCTTCCGCAGCCACGTCTGGGCTTCAGGATGCCGGGTGGGGACGGGGGCTCCGGGCACGCACACACTCACCCATCCAGACTTCGCCAAACTGCCCGGATCCGAGTTTCCTGACCAGCCTGAGAGACTGCCGGGGGATCTCCCACTCGTCCTGGGCCCAGGGGTTTTGAGGAGCCAGGCTCACGCAGGGCAGGGTCAGCCTCTGGCACAAACCATCCCCTTTCTCTGCATTAGGGAGGAAAGGACGGAGCTGGAGCTTCCCAGAGCAGCCAGGCTCTCGCTGGGGAGCCACAGCGTCCCTGGCTGTGTCCCCTCACGCCCCACCCACTCCTCCCGCGGCACACGTGCGTGCACACATTCAGCTCTTTGCATCTGCCACTGACCTGCTCTAAGACTGGAGACACTCACTACTCTGCAGGTGGCCCCATGTCCAGCCAGGACAGTGGACTGGGGCCACCAACTTTGAATCATTATGCTGAGAGTTGCCAATTCCTTAGGCCCAGCTTCAGGATAACCCCCCCGCCCCAGGTAGCACCAATGACTCACACAGATCTCCTCTGGCACCAGTGCCCACCCCCCACCCCGGACGCCCCTCTTACTGGAGTAGTGCTGCACCAGGGCCTGGAGCGAGGGGAAGGTGATCCGGGGGGAGATGTAGTAGCCCCCTTCCTCCAGCGAGCGGATCTTATAGTGCTTGACTATTTCCCCCTGGGCGGTGACGTCCTTCACAGACAGGGAGAAGGCCCCTGGAGTCGGTGGAGACACACGCAGGAGACGAAAAACAGGGTTAGGATTGGGGCTTCATTTCAGTGCTTTGGAACAGTTCCCCAATTCTGCTCCCCACTGTCACCCCTTCTATCCAGTTCCCTCTTCCTTCCTCTCGGCCTTGCCCCCGAAGCCTTCCCTGTTGGCCCCGGCTGACTCTGCCGTTGGCATCCTCCCAGAGTCCCCCAAACTCAGCCAGGAGCCACAGAGCCCTGCAGCAGGTAGGACGGTCCCTCGGCAATCACGTGGGCCCCCGACCGGGCATCTGGTTGCTCAGGGCCCTTTGCCATGGACCAGTAGGAGATGTAGGGTCGTTGGAGGGTCGAGGAGCTTCGTGTCCTTTTCTGGCTAATGGGGTGGCCTCTGCTCCCACAGGCAAACAGCCGTCCCAGCCTCAGGTACCCACTCCGTGGCAGAGAGCACGGCAAGCTACTTCCCAGGGGCCCTGTTGGAACTCATGTGCTGCTTGTCAGACACACACGTGTGTTTTGTTCTGTAGCTTCATGTTTCCCTGCAGGCAAGTGGGAGCAGGTGTCCAGGGTTAGGAACAATCGAGGAGGTAAGGGTTTCCGGTTGAGAAACTCCTTTCCAGGAGCTCGATGTTTTTATAATGTGCCTCTGTCCAACTCTCTGAGTACCGCGGCCCCCCTCCATGCTTATTTGGGGGATGGGGACGCGAGGCTTGCAAGAGTTGATGCAGCAGAGCAGACTGGTGCTGGGGCTTGGGGGGGCCGGTTCCGGGCCCCCCCCCGGGGCGTTGTGGCCGTTGGCGGCCGGGGGGGGGGTTGGCGGCGGTTTTTTTTTTGGTTTTTCGGGGTTCTTTTGGTTCCGGGTTCTTTTCCGTTGGGACCCTTGAAAAATTTTGGGGCGGCCCCGTTTTCCCTTGCCGGCTTTTGTTTGGGTTTTTTTTTAGGGTTTCTTTGGGTTCCTTGTTCTTTTGTTGCCAAGCGTGGCTGGTGATTGAGGGCTCGGGGTGACACCCCTCCTCTGCCCCACCAGCCTCCTGCAGACACAGCCAGGCTGGCGGGGGCTGGAGCCCTCACTGCCTGATTCCCACGCGCCTGGTCATTTCCAGCCCCGGCGAAGGGGTGATCTGTCCGTGGGAACAGCCTCAAAGCCAACTCCTGGACAGGGCTGAAGTTGGGGGTAAGGCCTGGAAGCTTCCGGTTCTCCTGGCCAGCACTGTCTCCTAGAACAGGCGTGCAGGGGAGGTGGGCGAGGCCGCCGTGCTTACCTTTGTTGGTTTCGCTCTCTCTGATGAGAAAGGAGCCCGCCTTGTTGATCGGGGCCAGAAGCTGCCTCTCCGTCTCCTTCCGGCTAATAGATCTAAAGAACCACCTGGAAACAGCGAAGGCAGGCAGACCTCAGGGAGTGCCGTGCCCCTGGGGATAGTCTCGCCCAAGCACCGTGCTCCTGAGCTATCCCCGCCCTCAAAGAATAAGATGTCATCTCTGCTCCCAGGTCAGCCTCGAGCTGCTGCTCCTCGCGTGGTGACAGGTTCAAAGCCTCTGTCCTTGTGGCCCCCTCCTGGCCCTCTTCCCACCCACTGCTGGGCTGACTGCTCTCCTGGAATGAAACAGGGTCATGACTTGGGTGACCTTTGTTAATTTTGCTTTGGAAAGATGCACCCAGTCGCCCTCCCCGAAGCACAGCTGGTCTCGTGAGCGCACGCCGGCTCCTCGCCATCCAGGCTCTGCGTTGGAGGAGCTGCTGGACCGGGAGCCTGCACTTCTCCCCTCCCCTCCAGCCAGGGATTGCTCAGTGTGGGACCCCCGGGGAGAAAGGGCAGGCGGCGTCTTCCCTGTGGCTACCCCTTCCCCAGTCCCGGGCAGAGCCTGGCCTGCGTGGGTGCTGTGGGCACGTGTAAGCCGGGAGCAGACTTTCCCGGGGCCGCGTGGACGCGGGTGATGAGGTGCGAGGGGTTGGAAGGTTGGGACCCTGCTCTCCTGCAAGCCCGCGCCGCTCACAAGCCACTGGCCTGGGAGCCCCCCCAACAAGAGGCAGTAAAGGAGGGGTGGGTGGGCACAGTGCCGTCCTGAGCTCGCGAGGCCATCGGACAACGGGACGGTGCCAGCCAGGGCACCCAGAAAGGCATGGCTCTCATCTCAGCTGGGCAGAGTGACTCGCTCGGCGCCGCCCAGCAGTTTGAACGTTGTCTGGAGCCAGTGGGGGAGCCTTTCCTAGCAGGTCTAATTCCCTGTCCCCTCCCGGCTGGGTTCCCTGGACTCCCCTTCCGGCCCTGCCCTGCTCGGCCGGGGAGCCGCCGGCGTCCACCTACTTTTCCACCTCCAGGCTCTCCACGCGGGCCACGAAGTTGCTGGGCACGTAGCCTTCTCGTCCCGTGACCAGCGACTTGGCCAACCACCAGTCTCCGGTTCTGAGGGGAGAAGCGAAGACAAAGATAGGACCGTGGCTCCTGTGGGCCTGTCCGCAGCTCCAGCCCCTCCGCACGGTCCCGTCCCCGGAGGCAGAGGATCGCGGGGCGGTCGGTGCAGACGCGGAGGGGCGCGTGCGCATAGACGCTCTGGGCGCGTTTGGGTTACTGGGCAGCGGGTGGGCAGAGGCGCCCCGGTCCCGGGGAGGTAGGGGAGGAATGCGTACGGGCAGTCGGCCGAGGCTGTCCTCGCTTGGCTCAAGCCCATTTCAGAACTTCCAGGACAAAGTCAGGCCCCCAGGGCTCCACAGGACAAGCCTGACGGTGGAGAGACAGCAGACCCGGGAAGATCTCTGGGAGGGAGCAATGTAAACAAGCTACAGCTGAACTGGCCCGAATAGTCCTGTGCTAGATTGTGTTTCCAGACGGAGACAAGGACAGACACCACTGACGCAAGCATAGGGCTCTCGTGGAACAGCCAGGCAAGCACTGCGGGGACAGAGGAGGGAGAGGCCCACATGCCCACAGAGTCAGGAGGGCTGCATGGAGGAAGTGGCATTAGAGCTGGGTTTTGAAGGATGCACAGGAGGTTGTGAGTGGAAACCACCTTGCCAGGAAGACTTTGGAGAGGAAGACAGTGGGGTCAAGCTTAAGGAGGTGCTGGGCTCCGGGGCTGGGGCCAGGCCGTGGGGATTTCTGGGGTCGGCCGCAGAAGGTGCGGTGGGTGAAGTGAGGGAGGGGGACTTTGAGGGAGTCCGGTGGAGACGGGGGACGGCGTCCCAGACACTCACCCCTTCAGGACCTGCAGCTTCTCCCCCTGCAGCATCTGCAGGTCCCGGTCGTTCGTAGCGGCGTAGTCGTACAGGGCCACCACGAAGTGCTCATCTGAAGGAGCGAGGGGGCGATGGTGGGGCCGGGGTGGGTGTGTGGCAGGAGCCGTCTCTGGCTACCAAGGGTGGGTGGCAGAGGTCCCTGTTCACCGAAGCTGAAGGGGAAGCTCTCGCCAGGCAGACTGGCCTCGTGTCTGCACCAGGACGGCTGCCCACAGAGCCCACCCGTCCTCCCTCCTGGGTCCCACCAGGAAGCCCTAAGGCCAGTGCAGGGCTTGTGTGGGGATCTGGTGCCAGAGGACTTGGGACGTCAGCTGCACGGAGGCAGTGGATTGCTGCAGACTCGAGTTTGGGGACCAGTGTTTGGGGACCAGTCCCTCATCATCCGGCTTGGCCCTGTCCTCAGCTCTGAGGCACCTCCCTCCTCTTCTCCTCCCCCTCTGCCCCGCCAGCCTCCACCCCAAGGGGGGTGGTCTTGGACTGTGGCAGCTGGTGCCCGGCGCCCTGCCATGGTGCCTCTGGCTGGCAGCTCCCCTGAACCTGCGTGGCCCTCGGATTTGGAGGGACGAGAGTTTAAGAGCTTGGTGCCGTCTTTGAAATGAGCACTGCTAGTGACCAGGGCTCTCTGCACAGCTCTGGGAGCCAAGAGACCCTCCTGGTAATGTCACCTGGAGGCCATTTAGCTTCCCTGGGGGCAGATGCCTCAGCTTTGTCACTGGTGAGTGACCTGGGACTGGTCACCTCCCCGTGTGAGGACGAGGGTGTCCCCTGCGGTTCTAAGCTTCAGGTGCTTCTGCTAAAGGCAGTCAGCTCATTTCCTTGTCCTGAGCTTCCTTCCTGGAGCTGCGACCCCCCTGCCTGGAAGTGAAGGCTCTCCTGTCCCTGATGGAAATGAATGGTGACCGTGCAGGGTAGGGGACACCAGATGAGGGCACTGACCCGGTTCCAGCACTTTGCTCAGGAGTGTGACAGACTCAAGCTTTTTTGGGGAGGATTGTGACTGACTTATGGCCACTCCTCCCCCAGTCCTGGGCAGAGCCCGGCCTTGCGAGCTGTGAGCTCGACGCACACCCTGTGGGTGGATTAGTGGTGGGGCCCCTGGCCAGCCTGGAAGACCTTCCTGGGGCCATGTGGACGAGGATGGTTAGGAAGCTTCCAGAAGCCAGCTCTCAGCCCGGGAGTCCCAAAGGCTGAGCCCCCGACCCAGGAAGGCTGAGCTCATTCACCAGGGCACCCCCTAGGCCTGGCCACCAGGACACAGTGGCATCTGGGGCCGAGGGAGGAGGCATGGGTGGTGAGAGGGTTGGCAGGGGGCTCCCGAAAGTGGCTGGGAAGGTGGCAGACAAGACCCTGTCTTCTCTCCGCCAGCCCTCGAGGGCCCTGCCCGTTTCCTCAGGGAGGCTGCCCCCGACTGTCCCCTGTTCCAAGGCCACAGAGTCGGGGCCTGGGAGAGGGCTGTGGAGCCTCAGCTCCCCAAACCACGCCCTTCCTACCTTCATCCAGGTGTTCGTCTGGGGGTGGAGGAGCGAGGTGGTTGAACACGACCTGGGGCAGAAACACACACCTGCGTGAGCCCACACCCCGCAGCCTGCGCAGGCCTGGTGGCAGCTAGACGACCTGTGGGATCTCCTCTGTTGGGAGAAAGGAGCCCCCTTTGGAGGCCGCACAGGTAAATTCTATACGTGCTGCGGCAGCTCCCTGGGGCCCAGCCCTGCCCTCAGACAAAACCCAGACCATCTGCCACTCTTGCCCTGACCAGGTGAGAGGACACCCCAACTTTGGTGAGGATAGTTGTGGAACGGGGGAAAAAGCCCAGTCATCTGGGTTAAAATCCTTGCTCTACCATTAAAAGGTGACATTGCAAAAGGATATTTGTTGACAAGGAAAAATATTTTAAAACTATGTTTCCCTAAAACTCAACAAATGTATTTGTAGGTATATACCCTGAAGAAAAACTTTTGCATACGTGTACCAGGAAACACGTATAAGAATGCTCTTAGCAAAAATAATCATGATAATACATGAACAATTTTAAAATGTAGCAATAACCCTGATAACCAATGAGAGAAAAATAGACAAGTTACAGAATGGTTGTGCAGTGAAATCAATGAGCTATAGCTAGTGCAGCAGCATCGATAAATCTCACAAATAGGATATCGAGCCAAAACCCAAGTCTCAGAAGAACACGTGCTGTGCGATTCAGTCAATTTAAAGCCCGCAAAGTGAAAAATGAAATGAAATTCTGCTCAGTGACGTAGACATGTGTTGTGATATTAAAAAGCAAAGCTAAGGAATGATAAATAGCTTTGGGGCCCGGGGGCTGGGGTGAGGGGGACAAACTGGGGAGGCAGCAGGGGGATTCCAGGGAACGGGTCCCTTCCTGTCTCTGAAGACGGCGGGAGGCTGCACAGCTGTGCGCTGTGCTGTTTCCTTTCAACCTGACACACGTGTTATAAATAGTATTTTTTATATTTTGTGTTTGTTGAATATAATTTTGAAGTGGCATTTTGAAAAGTGCTGTGTTCCACTAGAAATAAGAACACGTGATATAAAGAAGGCATTGAGAAAGGGCCCGGGGAAGAGCTGCCTCTGGTATCTCTGGGTAGTGGGATTGTGAATAATTTAAATTTCTTTTCCATAATTAATATATATTACGTGACTTTTTTAAATAAAAAAAAAATCCAGGCTCTACTACTTATTAGCTTATAACTTTGGGGAAATTGCCTCATCTAAGACCACGTTTGCCCATTTGGTCATGTATTCATTCAACAAACATCTCGTTGTTGTGTGCCGAGCCCTGAGTTAGATTGGGACATGAATAGATAAGCCTCGAGAGTTCATCTATGAACTGGGATTAGCAATCCCCACCCACCCAGCAGGTCCCTGCTACAGTAAAGAGATGACCGCTTGAACATGCCCGTGGTGGCAGACAGCGCAGGAGAGGGGGCCAGGCGTGACTCCCAACTGCCCCAAACCAGAAGGGGGCCAGCGATCAGGAAGCGGTGGGCACAAGGGGTCACCCAAAACGCACCTTCGGACGCGCAGCGGCTGTGGAAGGCGCTGACTGTGAACAAACCAGCACCGGCGCAGGGAAAGGGACTCCCCGGCCAGGAAACCTTCACTTCAAGTTTCACATTTTTCTTTCTTTGGAAATTTTTCTGCGTTTAAAATGCCCATGGGGTGCCAGAAAACTTGAGGGGCTGCTGGGAGGTGAGGAGAGGCACCCTCCCATTTTAGGGTGCTCCTCTCGGGAGAGCAGGTTCTCGGGAATGCCGGCAGCAAGGCCAAGCCGGGGACGATGGTCTCCAGGAGCTTCTGGGGAGGGAAGGGGCAGCAGGCTTAGCTAAATGCGCTGACCCCTCCCTGCACACCCTCTCTCCAAGCTGAACTTTTTGACTTCTTTTTCCCTTCAAGGCCACTCTTGAGAAATGAACACTGGCTAAGAATTACTGGGGGCTACCCATGCCTGGTCCTGTGTGTGTTATATTGCATTTCACATTTGCCTGTATGTCACATATTGTTACATCCCTATTAGGAAGGCACTTTTGCTGTACCCATTTTACAGATTTGGAAACTGAGGCACAGGGGAATAAAGTAACCTGCTGCCCAGGGGGCCGATCACTCACCAGGGGAGGCAGCGGTGGGGGCGTCTTTCCCTGGGCGTTGACTTTCAAGGGGCTCCATCCATCCTTGCCCTTCTCCTTGACCTGCTTTTTGCTGCTCACCAGTCCCATCCTGTTGGGGGACACAGGGCAGGTGGTGGATGAGATAGTGGGTCCCAGATCCTCTGGAGAGAGGAGCTCCCCTAACCCCTTCCGGGTGGCCAGTTAGAAAGCTAGGATGGAAAAGGGCAGGGCAGCGAAGACCTCAGAGTCAGAACATGGTTAGCAGAGGGTGGGAGAAAAAAGCCTGCGTCCATCATTTCTCAGGGCCCAGAGAGGAGAGCGGACTCCATCTGGGAACCAGAAATCACCCGGCTGGAGGCGACGGCCAGAAACTGCCAGGGTGGGTCCCGGCCCTCTGGGGACAGGAGCCTGACCAACGTGTCCGGTGCTCTGGGTTTGGTCTTCATTTAGCTGCTGGCCATGTCACTTGGAAAAGTCACATTTCCTCTCTGGACCCATGAGCTCCTTTGTAAATGGAGGGTTTTGTTAGAATACGTCTAAGGTTTCCTTCTCCAGCTCAGAGTCTCAGGTGAGACGCTGCACCGTTAGAGGAGACAGTACAGAAATCTAGGGCCAACTGCTGCTTCTCAGGGTAACATCAGGAGTCTTCTTTAGAGGTGAGAAAAGTATGATCAAGTTTTTTCTTGGGTGAAGACTGTTAGAATGTCAGAAGTGGGAAAGACCCCCGAGACCACGCCTTGGCCACCCGCAGCCCAGGGCCTACGTCCTCGGGAGGGTCGATGGGAAGGTCGCAGAGCTTGCTCACAACCCCCATCCAGTGCACACCCAGCTCCGGAGTCCTGTCCGACTCCAGGCCACACACCCCCGCGCTCACATCTGGTCCCCTCCCGAGAGACAGGCATCATAGAGAGGAAGCACCTGCGTCCCTGCTCTCGCCTGAAAGGTACGTCGTTAGTGGCGATTCCTTTGAATTTATGCACCGTGTTTCATCGATTCTAAGATGCACCTTTTTTCACATTTCAACATCTCTGAAACCAGGAGGTGTCTTATAATTGATGATGCTTTATGGTGTGATTAAGAGCAGCATCTTTTTTTCTCTTTTAGTGGAACAGAAAATAAGCACTGGCCTTCCCAACGGTGGCGTCTGAGATTCAGTGACACGCAGCAATGCATTTCCTTCAGGGCTGCCAGAGTTAAAAGCACATTCCCCATGTCAACTCTCCTCAAACCCACCTTGAAAAAAAAAAAGACTACAATAATTTTGGATATAGCACAGAGAGCCACAGAAACAATAAATCCACAACTATGTTTTTTTTAGTATGCCTTACATACAGAACACATAATACTTTCTATTTAAGTGCTTTCTTTATGTGAGTTCCGATTAGCTTTACCAGCAAATGAACTATAGTGCCGACGTTACAAGGAGCACTTCAGTCTTGAGAGATTTGGGGTTTCAGATAGTGGATACGGGTTTGTATTAGGAACGGCTACTGAATTTTATCAGGTGCCTACATAGTATCTATCAATGTGATCATTTTTATTCTTCAATTTGTTGACGTCATGAATCATGCTGGTAAATTTTCTGCTATTGAAACATCCTGTGTTCCTGGAGTAAAAGCTATCTGGTTACGGTATCTTAGTCTTTTTGACACATGGCATGGATACTGTTTGCTAATATCTTACTTCAAATGAGAATCTGTATTCGCAGTGAGATTTTCTATGAGGCGTTGGCATTGCGGTGATGCTGGCTTCATAGCATATACTGGGGAGCGGTCTTTTTTTCTACGGTCTCGAGCAGTTTAATAACATCAGAGTTGTCTGTTCTTCAAAGGCTGGATAGAACTCAGCTGTTAGGGCATCTGTTTCCGCGGTTCTTTTAAATAGGTCTTTAAATACATTTCCCATTTCTTCTACAGGAATTGTTTATTCCCAGTTTTCCTTCTCCTTGTGCCATTTTGATGACATATAATTTATAGGAGATCGTCGATTTCCTCTACATTTTCAAATTTGTTGCCGTAAAGTTTTATGTAGCATTATCTTGCAACTATTTTAACCTGTTCTCTTTCTCGATTGTGACTTCTTTCTCGTTCCTACTATAAATTAGATGTGCTTTCAATTATAATTACAATTTTTAATTGGATAAAATCATCCGAAGGTTTACATGCTCAAATAAAGTTTTGACCTAGCTTTGAAGTTATGAAAAAAGAAGACTATAATCAAGACAGCATGAACTTGGAATCAGAATAGACACTAATCAGCAGTGTGGAATAAAATGCTATTAAAT